GTGCAAGCAAGAAGTAACTTATGAACTGAAGATAACCTCATTCGATCTTCCCTTCTGCGCTGTTCTGCATTAATCACCTCTGAAGAGGTTTCGCTGTAATGCCTATTACCCCCAAATATATCGAAGTAACTGTCCTCCACCTTCTCCGTTAAACAACGCTCATCCAATATCCGATAAAGATTTGTTACCGTTTTTGGGTAGAACTATGTCCCTGGGTTCCTCAGACAGTTCTCCCACTGAACCTTTACTTCTATAAGAAAAGCATGACTAGGAGCATTTAATAAACACGTATTACGTCAGTAAATTACGCATATTTCACTTCCGTCGCCTTACCGGCTTCTGTCAAATGTGGTCTAGGTCTCTTGATCTGAAAAAGAGCAAAAAAATAAATAATAAACAGTTATCTACTCAAAAGATCTTATGTTTATAAAAACTAACGCTGTTTCTCCCGTATGGGACGTACCGTTGTCTATGAATGAACAGTCAGGCATAGTAAGTGGGGTTGATTGCTGATGTTTGTCTGGTGTGGAATTTCTGGAGCCTGAAGACTTCGAACGACCGACCTTCGGCTGAACAATCACCAAAGCCGAAACGCCGCTCGAGGGAGAGCGAGGATCCGGTTTACTGTTAGTGTTGCTGGACGAGGAGACATTCGAGGAAGAACCAGTGAGTTGTTGAAAGTGCTGCTGAATATTATAAGCCTTGGAACTGACAAGTCGTTTGAGTCCGCTTACAGCAGAAGTAGATTCGGACGCGCTGGGCGATTTGGACTGCTGCGGTTGTTGCGGTGGGGGCTTGGCTGTGACAGTCTTAGCAGTTGTAGGACCCGGGGACGGGATGGGCTGCCTGGTCTCAGAGGAAGAAGAAGTTGATGACCGAGGACTTGGTGAATACTGGCTACTGAATGAGGTCACCTTAAGTGTGTCTTCTGAGGGTTTAGAAGTTGTTGACCTGTCCTGATCCAGTTCGGTCATCAGTGGCGAAACTCTTTCCGAGTAAGGCGTGTAGAGAGGCAGTGGTTTGCCTATTCGCCCTGCAAATACGCGCGAATAAAGTTGGGGTATATTACGCCTACTTACAAATATTAAGTAGGAAATAAACGCGTATATGTTTTGTCACCCACCTGCAGCTGAACGAGTGGAGGGCGACGCTTCTGCGGACACCGCACTAAAATCGGCAAAAAAGTCATCCCTGGTAGATTTAGGAGGAGAAGTTAAAGGAGGGGTTTCTTTTGGGATCTGTTGTTCTCGGGTTGCCGTTGCGTCCTTCAATTCCTTCAACAAGACACCCATCGAAAATTTATTCGTAGGGCCAAAAATGTCCGACGCCTTGTCTATAGCTACTTCAACAACCTTCATAAGCCACTTGTTGTCTACGAACTCCATCATGTTTGCCACTTGGAACCTGAAATAGATAATGAGACCGCGGATGAAAGAGCTATTTGGAAACATGAATAAATAAAACATCGAATAACATATATTGGGGTTCGACAACGCTCGGAAATGATGCTTCGAAGGGCTTGGGCTATAGGCAGTTTTGATAGACACAAGAGGCCAGACGACGGCTCAGAATTCATCAGAATTCACGCTTGATGTCACAGCTAAGTGTTAGCGTATTTATTCTTTGTGTAATATGTAATATATAGCTACAGCCAGAAGTAAACACTCGTATTTATTATATGCAAACGTTTCGAACTTGACAGCTTTGCCATAATTTTAAGTTATACTGTCTGAATCTCCATAGACAGAAGTGCGTTAAGTTACAGGAATTGGAACAAAGTCGATTCGCTTTCCACGCCAGATAATCCACACAAATTGTAGGCACAACTGCCATATTTCAGCGGCAGAACCTGTGGCATAAACGGTACGCGGTCTGCTTACCCATTTCTCCTTACGCAGGTGAAGTAAAGCAGGGGACATGTGGTTAATCCAGCCTGGTTAACCATAGGCAAGACAAATACTTTCCTGGTTCCGGTCTGCTAAAATGAATCCAACACAATTCGAACCTTTCAGAAGGAGTGCAACCGTCATGACTTTCTGCACACGAAGACGTACTTGTTAATTCGGGGGGTGGGCGGGAGGGAAGCAAGCAAAATGATCTCTAAGTTCAAACAGAAGGAATTATTTCTCTATATGAAGACTGGCATTGCACTCTGTCCGCATTCAGAGGTGCTGTGGGCAGAGGTGCTTCGAAGTCAGACCGAAAGAATTTCGTTTTACACGCCAGGGAGTAGGGAGCACCTATTAATTCACGCAAGCAGTACGCCTAGCTGTCCTATTTCTGAACTAAAACATGCGGCGTGAATAGTTGGACGGTTGTCCGTCCGACTTCCCCATTTTTCATTACTCGGGTTAAGCCACTGTCTGACCTACTGGAAACCGAGACTGTCCTACGATTGCCTGTAAAGGTA